TCAACGTGAACTTGTAACTCCTGGGCGCTGCCTCTCTTATCCAAGGCTAGGGGGAGCCATTGAAAGGCTTTTAAACTCAACAATGGCCTCAGCAGATTTGCTCTTCAGGAACACTTCACCGCTCCATCCGAGCTGGATAAGCAAGCAGGTCTAGAAGCAGACTGCCAGTGGCTGCAGTGACCCAGGTGAGACAGGACAAGAGCAGGAACTGCAGCAGTGAGGCTGAGGAAGGCAGAGTCAAAGAATTTCTAAGAGGGGGAACTCCTAGTTCTTGGTGAATCAAAGTAAGAGTTTCAAGACAGGAATCCGGGACCCTGGCTTGGGAACCTTAGCCAGGTATCATTGCTTTGACAACCACAAAGCATCAGCCACAGATGGACCTTCGAAGGTCCAGAGTCAAGTCTCAAACTCCAGTCTAGCTGATACACAGTACTTCTGAGACAAAAATACAAAGCAGTTAAAAAAAAAAAGCATAAGGCTTATTTCAAATTAGCCATCACTATTAACACTGTTGGCTTACAGTTCAAAGAAAACATTTTGTGGTACCTTTAAAAATACACACTCCACCCTGTCACCTGTTTTGCTTGTCATTCTCCAAGATTATGAGGGAAATGCACTGGTTTATTAAGCAAACTAGAACATATTTGGATTTTCTCTCATTCCTTTATCATTACAGCAACTTGCCAAGAACTCAGTTCGCAATCATTTAACCTCCTACAAAGCATGACCTACCCCACACATAAGCTTATTTCAGCAATAGTTTCTACACCTTAACCACGCGGTTTGTCCAAGGATGCTCTCTGCAAATCTTAAAGTAAAGCGGTTCTGTGAAGATGTAGCAACTTATTACAATTCCCATTTTACTACAGAGTTAGGAAACTGGCCCAGGGGAAGTAAGTAAATTGGAAATAATCACAAAGCCAGAAGCCAAAAATAACAACTTGTAGCCAATCCATGAGAAAACACTGCCCCTAGTTGAAATAACACGAATTTTAGTATTAGGAGGAAGCAAAATGCAAGCTAACACATTTAAGTCAAGTCTTACAGCCTTATTTCTAAAAATGCCTCAATAACAAGACTAAAAAGATTTGTAAGAAATAAAACCACTTTTTCCTCATGCCTTTCCCATTCAAGATGCCTAATATTTAATGAGTTATATCTGGCAAGAGTGGCTTTTTCCCCTCAAACTGTTTTAATTTTTTAAAAGATTTATTTTTATTGGAAAGGAAGATTTACAGAGAGAAAGAGATTCAGAGATCTTCTGTCCACTGGTTCACTCCCCAGGTGGCCTCAATGGTTGGAGCTGAGCCCATCTAAAGCCAGAAACCATGAGCTTCTTCCAGGTCTCTGAAGCCTTTAGGCAACCCTCCATTGTTTCCCCAGGCCACAAGCAGGGGCCTGGATGGGAAGTGGAGCAGCCAGATAGGAAGTGGAGCTGCCTGCAGAAGTTCCTGGTGCTTGCAAGGCAAGTATTTAGCCACTGAGCCCTTGCACAAGGCCCCCTCAAACTATTTTATCTCATCCACTTAGAAGACACTGATATAAATCAGTTGGTAGAGGTTGATGGGTAACTTACCAACAAAACTAACCACTTAAAAACTATGCTATGAACATATATTAGATGGGGCCAGCACCATGCAACAGCATGTAAAGCTGCAGCTGCTCCACTTCACATCCAGTTCCCTACTAATGAATCTGGAAATGCAGTGATGAATGATCCAAGTGTTTGGGCCCCCACATCGGAGTTCCTCAGCACCACCCCCTCTCCTGCTCCAGCCTGGCCCAGCCCTGTGGGGAATGAATCGGTAGATGAAACATCACTCTCTCCCTTCACCCCATTAACTCCTTCAAATAAATATATCTCAAAAATATATATGAAGTTACAAATAAGACAGTCCTATTTTCTTATAAATGTATAGTCTGCCATAGAACCATCTACAATACATAGATAAATTGAAAGCTTTAACAGTACCAAGATGGGCAAAAGCCACTGCAGCAGTAACACCACCATCCCATGGAGGCACCAGTTCGAGGTTTGAGTCCTAGCTGTTCCATGTCCAATGATAGCCTGGGAAAGCAGCTGAGGCTGTCCCACAGGTATGGGCCCCTGCCACCCACCCAAGAAATGCAGAAGAACCTCCTGGCTCCGTTGCCCCCAGCTGTTGCAGTCATTGTAGGACTGAACCAGCAGACGGAAGAGTCTGTCCCTCCCTCTCTGTGTGACTCTAAATTTGAAATAACTAAAGAAATCCTTTAGAGAAAAGTCATTACAAAGAATGACAGCTTCCCAGTCACAACTCACCCTTATTTCCAAATATGTTGCTGATATATTGAAAGGTACTGTACCAAATACAGGTCTTACATGATTTAGGAAAACTCAAACTAGAAGTGCATACTAAATTAATTCTGTGCATTCGCCCTTATACCTTTCATTTTGCATAGCTTTTATAATTTATTTAATTAGAACAGTGTGCCAAGACAGTACCTTAGACAGCGCATATACTTTAAACTCTGGAACCAGGTTACAAATTTGTATGAAAAAACTTCATCAGGAAACCCATGATTTCCCACGAATTAAAATACGAACTACTTTTTTTTTTTTTACTTGAAAAGTAGCATTACAAAGAGACAATATCCACGTGCTGGATATTCCCCAAATGCTGCAAGGCCAAGGGCTGGGCCAGGCTGAAGACAGGAGTCCAGAGCATCCAAGGACTCGAACCCATCCTGTGCTGCTTTCCCAGGCATATTAGCAAGGAGCTGGATTGGAAGTGGAGCAGCCAGAGCTCAAGAGGGCACATGGGATGCTGGCACTGCAGGAGGCAGCTTCACCTACTATTCCAAGGAACCACTTCTAAATTAAGTCTTTACAAAAAAATTTTTCAATGAGCTAATTCCTTAGACTAAATTTTGTATATGTCCTACTAGGTGCACCTTACCTGGAACTTAACAGGGAAACTGTCAGTGTATCTTCTAAAAGTTGTGATTAACCAGCAAAAAGAATCCTTAACAGCATATTCAGCAGGGTAATCCGGATGGATTTAACTTCTTACTCAAGTACCAGAATAATCCAGGCCATAAAACACTACACCACACCCACATCCACATCACAGAACCCCAAGCTTTCAACATTACCATAACAATGAGAGCAGGCAACAACGTAATACTTCTTCAACGTTAGGAAATGGCTTTTAGATAACCCCACTAAAGGCTTGCTTCCGACTGTCTTAATTGCAATTGATTGATAGGCTCCACAAAGATCCTAGAAGCAGTAATCATCCACCAGAAACTGCAATTCAACCCGTCCTGAGACAGAAGCGCAGTCGCTCAACTCTAAGCCAAAACGCAAACACTGCATGGTCAGCTCTAACTGTGAAATGCAATGACTAAGAGAAACAAGTTTATATCAAAGTGTCAAGTTGGAGACTTCTCTTTTTCCTTATGCAGCCATAAGAAGTTCCTGGCAATCTTACCCAACTCTAGATCTCAATTCTAGAAAATGTTGGAATTCTCCACCAACATTCATTCAGAGAAGTTTCTTTCACATCCAATTCACCCAACTCCTACCCGGCACATCAAATGAATATCCACTGTGGATACCTGAAACTATTCACCAACACGAAGGCGAGGGGGGGGGGGTGGGCGTCTACTTCTAATTCTCCTACAGGACCCTTCAACCACCCACCACCCGCACGAAACCCAGACTCAAGGCTGGGGCAGTTGCCCTTGGCCTAGGCTGGCAGAATCAGCGGCGCAGGGGAAGAAGGGGGCGGGAGGGAACAGCCACCGGGAGACCTGATCTTCCAGGGCTACTGTTTCCAAACAAAACCACCATGGCCTCGGAGGCAAGAATCCGTGAAAATGCTGCGATCCCGAGAGAAAGAGGTGTGCATATGGGGGAGAGGGGAGTCATCCCAAGAGACGCGGGGTGCCCAGGAGCAACCTGAGCATCCCCAAGCATCTCGGACTCGCTAGACAACAAACCGTAGCGTCTGTGTGCACTCGGAAGCACCAGATGGAGTCCCCGGGGCTGAGACAGTTCAGTGCACAGACACCGGGGGCAGCGGATAAATCAACCGGTGATGGGAGCGGAAGGGGGTGATCGGAGGACCGGTCCCCGTGGTGGGGGGGGAAGACAAAGCCCCCCGGGGGTGATCAGGGACCAAACAGCGGGCTGAGAGGGCAGACAACGGAGTCAGACAATGGAAGGAAAATCAGACAGGAACCTGGTGCCCGGGCTGCGGCAGGTCACTGGGCTCCCGAGAGCACAGGGGCACACAACAAAAGGGGCACGGGAGGATGGACAGCCGAGGGCAGCAGACGGAGAAGGGACGCGGGGCGCCACGGGTCGGACAAAGCGCCCAAGGCGGCGAAACAAAGGGCCGGGGGTAGAGAGTCGCGGGGGGCAGCGGGGGTGGCGCCGGGGCACCCGCGGGGCCAGGAGGCGACGGCGGCCGCGGGGAACAAAGCTGCCCCGGGTCCCCGGAGCGGGAGGCCCCGCGCGCAGGGCCGCGCTCACGCCCGCAGCCGCCGGCCTCGCCGTGGCCGCCGCCACCCGCCCTCACGCGCCGGAGCCCGAGCCACGGCGGCCGCAGAGCGGGCAGGCGCGCAGCCACACGCCGCCGCGCCCGGCGCACGCGACGCCGCCTCCCGCGGGGGGCCCCGGGCACCCGGCGCGCCGCGGTCCCCGAGCCCGCCGCCCGCCGCGGGGCTGCCAGGCGCCCGCAACTTTCCCGGTTCCCGGCGCTCCGGTTCCCCGAGACTTACCCTGTCACAACAGGCGCCATCTTCCACAAACTCTCGCCAAAACTCCAACCCTCGCGAGATTCCCCCCGCCGCTTTGCCCGGTCCCTCTCCCCCGCCCCTTGCCTTTTTCCTCACTGCTCGATCCCACCCAGCCCCCGCGCGCCTTCTCCCCTCGCAGCCGCCGCGGAGGAGCAGACGCCTCGCGCCGCCCGCGGACTCGGCAAGCCTGCTCGCTGCCGTCCCTGGAAACCTACCCCAGCGATGGAGCATGCGCAGGCGGCTCCCCGGCGGGCGAGCCCTCCGTGTGGTCCATGGGGAGCGCTCCGCTTTTCCGGGTTTTGGGGCGCGCCCTGGAGACTGAGGAAAACCGGAGGGGATTCCTACGGGGACGGGGAATGGAGGGGTCAGGAGGCGGGGCCGAGGTGGCAAGGGAGGAGGGGTCCTGGGAAAAACGGGCCGCCTCCTCAAAGGGGTGTTTTCCAAGTGGCTTCCCGCGCTCACTGCGGCTTCCCAGCCCTTTTCATTCATTCAGACGTTCGTTGGACGCCTCCTTTATTGCTAACGTCGGCGCCAGGTGAGCGAGCTGCGGGCGAGTGACAGGCCAGCAGGAACTCCCTTCATTCATTCCGCTTGCCGGCCCCCCCTCCTCCCCGCGCGCGCCCCAGGCCAGAGGGGACGTGGACACGGGCGCCCTCGTGACTCGACCCTTCCCGAGCTCCACACACGAGAAAGTTGTGCGGGGAGCCCTGTGGCCTTGGCCGCTTCTGCCGGGTGCCAGACGAGGTCAGCCCGAGGCCTCTGGCAACCACAGCCCTCCTGTCCACCAGCTGTCTGTGCGCGCCCGGCCACAGGCGGGGCCCGACGCTGCTGCCCAGGGAGCGGGTCCTCCTGTGGGCCTGGCATAGCCGAGGACGCTGCCCGTGGCCCGAAACGTACTCCAGTTAGGGGGGCGCCTAAGCCCGGAAGCCCCAGCTAACGTGGTCCGGCTGAGCACTTACAGCGCGGTGCAAGGCCTGAACCCGCCTCCTCCTCTGTACCTGCAGCCCTCCCTGCGTTCACCTCCCCCCCCCCTTCTTTTCCCTGTCCTTTCCAGAGATTCCCAGGTCCAGCACTGCCTCCCGCAGGGAGCCCCAAAACCCGGAGAACTGGAATCAGCCGCCCGAAACCTGCTGTAGGCGCTGCAGGATTGGCGCGGCACACACACACACACACACACGCGCGCGCGCGCGCGCGCGCGCGGCACTGCGCATGTGCCCAATGCGGGCAGCCCAGTCTCACGCTACACCTCCTTCCCACCGCCTTCCACTACGCGGCTCAGACACAACACGGGCCGTGGGAAATTTCCTAAACCTCGCGAGAATGCACCTTCCCACCCCCACCCCCACCCCCAGTTGCCTAGGCTTTCTCTCCTACTCTCGCGGAGCTCAGGCCACACAGGTGTACACGGTCTAGTGCTGCACCAGGCGCTGTCAGCTCCCTCGTGCGCCCGTGTGCGCCCGGGCGGCCGGCCGCGGCTGTGGAGCAAACCCTGCGTCTGGCACACGCGCGCACACGCCCTTGATGAGCGGTGCAAGAAATGGGGCAGGGTGCGGTGTAGAAGAGGGGGGAGCCCGGAGGTTAGAAACTCCGCGAAGTGCGGAGAGGAAGAGGTCTGGGGAACCAGGAGCCCAGGCCAAGCCCCGGGGAGGTTTCCTGTCGCCTTCCACGAGGCTGGTACTTTCCTTAGATGTGTTAGACGCCGCGCCCCCGTCCTCTGGGAGCTGACAGACCCCAAAGTCGAGTTTGAGTCATGCTTCTGAGTCACACCTAGTCTGGCCACTACTTCAGTTGCTTTAAAGCAAATTAAGTTCCCTTACTGCCCTCCAGCAATTTGTTTTCTTTCTAATCTCCACCCTCGCCTTGTGCAAAAAAGAGAAGCTGCTTCCCACGCTCTCACACTGCAGCTTCATGCAAAGGAAGCGATTTGTACCTTTCTTCCATTGCTTTTCAAAGAATCCCTGTATATCTCTATATGTCCCTTTGCTTCCCTGGAATACAGACAAAATGGTTTTGCTGCCCTTCACCTTCCCACATTTGTTTTGCAACACTCATCCCGTTTTAGGTATCGTTTTGTCAGCTCTACTGTTCTGAGTGCCTCCCTTCTTTCTGGATTATTCAGTTGTCTTTTGAGTTCCTGATTTCCTCAGCCACATTCCGTACTGGGCCTGGGGTGGTTTATAGCCAGCCTAGGCTGGTTGACAGCACACACTTGCAGTGTGGAGCTGAATGGGAGTGACATTTGGAGAACTAATGAATGAATCCCTGCTTTCTAGTTCATTCTGCTGCTCATGGAGTGGATAGGAATTCAATTTTCTGACTTGATGAAGTTTGGAGGGATGTAGGTGTGCGTATGTGTTGGCCTGTTGCTTTGGTTATGTTTTATACAGGGGGAAAATGGTCTACTATAGTACCGTAGTGCAAGTCTGACTTAAAATGAGAAAACTCAGAACAAAGTCCTTGGGCCTGTACTCTTTGGAGCCTTAATCCCAACGTGTTTTGATCTGGGCTAGCCGGGTCCACTGCTGTAATTGGACTCCTGCCGTCTGAGAATCTCAACAACCGTGGAGGACTATGGCAACTACCAATGTAACTTCCCATTTTAACCTGAAAACACACTCCACCCTCAGCCTTCCTCCCACTTACGTAAGGCCAGAACCTTGGAATTATTCTTGCCTTCTCCTCTCATACTCAAAAACCAGTAAGACAGAAAATTAAGCTAATCCCATTTCAGTTACTGTAGCAAAATGCCAGAGGCTAAGTAATGTATCAAGGACCCTTGGGAAGGTTCTCATGGCAGATGGTATCACAGTGGTGAGAGCACCCAGAAAGGGCATGTGGGAGAGAAAGGAAGCTAGAGTGTGGCAAGGAGCCCGCCGTGCTCTTTTGTAAGACACCATTGACAAGATGACCATTATCAGTTCCTATTGAAAGCATCTCGCAACCTCCAAGTTCTTCCCAGCCGGGGTCTGCCTCCTGTCACGTGGCTGCCCTGAAACCAAGTTGGTAGCACACGAAGCTTTGGGAGATAGTTAACCATACCCAGACTACATACCTGCAAAATACACACACAGTCCACACCCCACACACAGGCCACCAGCCCTGTCCAATCTAGACCATCTCCCATGGGGCTTACAGGAAGGACATCTCACCTTCATGGCTCTGTGCTTAATGAAGCCTTCTATGCAACTTTCTAGAACTCTGCAGTGGTTTTCTCCATTTCACTGTGGGGCTATCCACCGTGGGGCCTGTGTCCATCCCCCACCTCTCTCACTGCCCCTCTAAGCAGCCCCCTGCCTTGCTCTTCTTGCTGGCTGCAGCATCCTCCCGTCAGAACCCTGACTTACAGCCCATTCCTTCATGCTGTCAGGTCCTCAATCAGATGTCACTCCCTTGATCTGCCTTCATGAGAGGCACTCCCATACTGGTTATCCCTGTTCCCTGCATTTCCCATGGTGTGGGTCAGACACTAACATACATTGGACTCGTGGATGGCAATTATGGCTGCCCTCACCCTTTAGCGTGGAATCTCAACATGTGCAAGGACTTGGTGTTCAATGTTGAGGCCTCAAGCATTAAAACTATGCCTGGTGCATGCTAGGCACTCAGTGAGTTGTTTCAGGTTTGGCTTTTCTCATTTTTGCTAGATTTATTAATTTTTATTACGCAGATTTACATAGAGAAGGAGAAATAGAAAGATGTTCCATTTGCTGCCTCACTCCCCAAATTGCCACAACTGCCATAGCGGGAGCTGAGCTGATCCTTTCCCAGGCCATTAGCATGGAACTGGCTGGGAAGTGGAGCAGCTGGGACATGAACCTGCACCCATATGGGATGCTGGTACTTGGGAGAGGATTAGCAAGTGGAGCCAAAGCAACCAGTCCAACTCAGATTCATAGAATGCGTAAATTGTCTTTTCTTTTAGGGTGGAGATAATTCTGAAGCCTCACAAAGCCTTAGAGGTTTAACCACAGTGGACAACGTGCATTTGGTGCGGGAGATACCCACACCCAGAAGGCTAGGATTACCTCCTGCCTCCTCCACATCGGATCCAGCTTCCTGCTGATGCAGACTCTGAGAGGTAAACCTGCCATTCACATGGGAAATGTGGATTGACTCACAGGTTACTACTGGCTTCAGCCTGGCCCGGCCCTGAGTGTTGCAGACATTTGAGGAGAGCATGGGAATGGAACAGAGGCCTCTCTCCATTTGTGTCTCTGTTTCTACCCTCTGTGTTTCTCTGCCTTTAAAATATAATGAACCGTGTGACTGGTGTGGTAGCATGGTAGGCAGAGTAGGCTATGCCTACATCTGTAGCACTGGCAATGCATGTGGGCACAGGCTTATATTCTGGCTGCTCTACTTCCAGTGCAGCTCCTTGCTTATAGCCTTTGAAACAGCAAAGGATTGCTGAAGTCCTTGGGCCCCTGTACCCATTTGGGAGACCCAGAAAAACCTCCTGGCTCAGCTTGGCCATTGTAGCCATTTGGGCTGGCATTGTAGACTAATCTTCCACCTGTGGGTGCCAGTTCCAGTCCCAGCTGTTCCACTTCTGTTCATCTCCCTGCTTATGATCTGGGGAAGCAATAAAGGATTGTCCAGGGCCTTGGGACCCTGCACCCAAGTGGAAAACCTGTAAATCTGCCTTTCTTTCTAAACACTGTTTTTTTAAAAAGATTCGGTTTATTTTATTTTAGATTTATTTATTTTTATTAGAAAGTCAAATATAAAGAGAGGAGGAGAGACAGAGAGGAAGAATTTCCGTCCAATGATTTACTCCCCAAGTGACCACAATGGCTGGAGCTGCACTGTTCTGAAACCAGGAGCCTGGAACTTCTTCTGGGTCTCTGGTGAGGGTGTAGGAACCCAAGGCTTTGGGCTGTCCTCAACTGCTTTCCCAGGCCACAAGCAGGGAGCTGGATGTGAAGCGGGGCTGCCAGGATTAGAACCAGCGCCCATATCAGATCTTGGCGAGTTCAATGCAAGGACTTTAGCCACTAGGCCCCTGCAACGGGCCCTAAATCTGCTTTCTAGCAAAAATAAATAAATCTTCAAAAGTCTTTTAAGAAATAAGGTGTAATGAAAGTAAATGAATAAAAATTGAAATGATAAAATAAAAACAATGTTGTTAAAGTAGCAGTGAGTAAGCCAGTACAAGCCTGTCTAAGGAGGAGAAAAAAGGCCTACAGGACTTACTGCAAAAATAAAAAGCTCTTATTTCTGGGCTACACCAGTAGATGAGACCACATTTATGAGTTTCCTTTACAGTTTAGAGCTGCTGGAAACAAACTGTTAGCAGGAGAGGAAAAAAATACAAAGAGGTGTTTTCATGGGTTGCTAATGGCAGTGAAAATGGATATCTTCTTTATGGAAATGATTTTGGCAAAATCTAACACTTCCCGTTAATCCTGCAACTTATTTCTAGACGCTCTCACAATACATATTTGTGAAATTACCTACATATTGCAGCATTGTGGGAGGTAGAACAAACACTGGTAATGGCCTGAAGTTCAATGAGGGCTGTGTTATTTTTTAAAAAAAGAAAATCGTGGTATGTACTTGAAATGGAATAATGTGCACCTATTAGTCAGCTTTTATGTACTTATCTGGAGAGATCATAAAGATTTTAAAATATGGTACAAAACAGTGATAAGTAAGTGCAGATTTATTTTCCTGTAGGTTTCGAACATGGCTGTGGAAGGGCTAACTAGAAACTCTCAGTAGTGAATGCTTCTCCACGAAGGATTCAGAAATTGGAGGACAGAGAGACTAGCTTTTCTTAAAAGTCCTTTATCTGGAGTTTTTAGAATTTTATGCTATGTACATGTATTTTCTAATCGAAAATATAAAACACAAAAATGGAGGAAAAGAAGAAATGCAGCAAATGTCAACAAGAAAAAGTGGATCCAGTAAAATTGTTCCCTTTCTTTCACTTGAGCAGAATTATTTTCTAGTAGAAGTTATGTGCATGATCTACCGTCTTCGTACAATTAAAATGGTCCATTCCAACAGCACATTCTGTTCCAACCACAGCACAGTCAGCATCTTCCTTGGGGTTTCACAAAGACTTTGCCCTCAGAGGACATCAAGGGTAACAATGCACAGACTTGCTTGTCGTACCATGCCAGGGCAGGGGTGTGAGTTGCAGGAACGGGTACAGTAGGAGAAGCCCCTAACTCCTGTTTGTGGAACCAGGAAAGCCTTTGCAGGAAGGACGTTTGAGCTGACTCTTACTGTAGTGGGGATTCAGAAGACAATAACAGGAGGAAGCAGTGTGACAGTGCAGCAATCAGCATGTTCAGCCTCTGCGTTGTGAGTCTCTTGTATTCCAGA